TCATCAGCATCAGGTTTGTTTTGAGCTGATTATATCAACATCTGCTTAGAGTCTCTGAGTCTAGGGGGGGAGCAGTCAAAGCTGGTTTGGGCAAAGAAACCCCAGATCTGAATCCTGGTCCTCTAGTTCTCAACATCTGTGTGTTTTGGGGTCACATGGACTTGAATCTGAAGTAATCTACACCAATGGTTCCCTCCAGACACACACCAAAGAATAGAGCCCCCTCAAATGCCATGGCCATCGTCAGTAGCCAAGAGGCTAGCCTGCAGTCCCCTTCAACAGCCCCTGCCCCAGTTGGGTCTGTCACAACTTCAGCACTCAAAAATGGTGGAGGCCCCTATCTTATACTGCAGAGTTATGCCAGAATCCAGCAACCCAAACTGGAAGGGTAGGCAGTGCAGCCCTCTTTGAATCTGGGGAATATCAATACTAGACAAAAAACAAAAACAGAAAGGGTGCAAATGCATAGTGCATTATCTTTAGCACTTTATTTAATAAAACAAATAACAATATACTCACAAGCCTGATAGGCTAAAGGCATGTAAAACTCACAAGGAACAAAATGCAATCATCCACTAACCAACTCCAACTTGTAAATGGATAACTGAGCCAGCTGGACACTTTTTGGGGAACTGGTCCCCTTCTTTAGAGCCAGTTCTAAATGTCTGTAATACATATAACAAACATGTTATACTTACCTGCTCTGTGCAATGGTATTGCACAGCGCAGCCCCTATTATTATTATTATACAGTATTTATATAGCGTCAATAGTTCGCACAGCGCTGCACATTACAATGGGAGACAATACATGAGACAGTACAATAACAATACAATGCGATACATGAGGGGTTAGAGTGCCCTGCTCTTTTGAGCTTACAATCTAGGAGGGTGGGGATAGTGGTACGGGAGGAAAAGCTGTGGGCGATGGAGTGGTAGGAAGAGTGGAGGAGATTGGCAATTAGCAGGGGGTGGAGTAGGCTTCCCTGAAGAGGTGGGCCTAAAGGAGAGGAGAGTAGGTGATAGTCTGATGGATTGGGGTAGGGAGTTCCAGAGGATGGGTGATGCCCTGGAGAAGTCCTGGAGGTGGGCATGGGAGGAGGAGACCAGGGAACTAGAGAGAAGGAGGTCTTGTGAGGAACGGAGAGTGCGTTTTGGGTGGTATTTGGATATTAGGTCGGTGATGTAGTTTGGGGCAGTGTTATGGACAGCTTTGTACGTCAGTGTTAGCATTTTGAATTTGATCCGTTGGGCAATCATAAGCCAGTGGAGGGAATGGCAGAGGGGGTTGGCGGAAACGGAGCGGTTGGTAAGGTGGACGAGTGTGGCTGCCGTATTCAGGATCGACTGAAGTGGGGATAACCTGTGGCGAGGGGGAGGCCAGTGAGGAGGGAGTTGCAGTAATCAAGTCGTGATATGATGACGGAGTGGATGAGCTGCTTAGTGGCTTCTGGGGTTAGGAACGTGCGGATTTTGGTGATGTTGCGGAGGTGGAGTCTGCATGAGTTTTTTAGCAATTGGACTTGGGGCTGGAGGGATAGATTGGAGTCAAGAATGACACCAAGTACTCTGGCTTGCGGGGTGGGCCTGATGGCGGCATTGTTGGACATGATGGAGAAGTCAGTGGGGGGGGGGGAGCGCGGGACAGGGGGAAAACTAGGAGCTCGGTTTTGGAGAGGTTCAGTTTAAGGAAGTGGAGCGACATCCAATCTAATATGTCGTTCAGTAGGCTAGTGATTCGGGCGGGGATTGAGGGGGTGAGGCGAGGGGTCGAGAGATAGATTTCCGTGTTGTCGGCATAGAGGTGGTAGTTGAAGCCGTGAGAGTGTATCAGTTGGCCATGGGAGGAGGTGTAGATGGAGAAGAGAAGGGGCCTGAGGACAGAGCCTTGAGGGACCCCGACAGAGAGGGGGAGTGAGGGGGAGGTGGTAGCATTATAGGTAATGCTGAAGGAGCGTTGTGATAGCTAGGACGAGAGCCAGGAGAGAGCGGAGTCTCTGAGGCCAAGGGAGTGTAGTTTTTTGAGGAGGAGGGGGTGGTCAACTGTGTCGAAAGTCACGGAGAGGTCGAGGAGTAGGAGCATTGAATAGTGGCCATTAGCTTTGGTGGTTAGAAGGTCGTTGGAGAGTTTAAGTAAGGCAGTTTTGGTGGAGTGTAGGGGATGGAAGCTGGACTGTAGGGGGTCGAGGAGGTTGTTGTCATTGAGGTGGGGGAGGTTAGGCGATTATAGACTAAGCGCTCAAGGAGTTTGGATGTAAATGGCAGCAGGGAGATGGGTCTAATTTTTTCGGGTCAGTGGGGTCCAGGGAGGGCTTTTTAAGTATGGGAGTGATGTGCGCGTGCTTCAGAGGGGAGGGGAATGTGCCAGAAGAGAGGGAGAGATTAAAGATGTGGGTGAGGGAGCGTAGGATGGAGGAGAAGGGAGGTTGTAGGAGTTGTGAGGGGACAGGGTCGAGGGGGCAGGTGGTGAGGCAGGCTTCAGAGAAGACCTTAGTGACCTCCTCAGTGGCAGTAAGGTCGAAGGAGTGGAGTGTTGAGGGCGCGTCAGTGTGAGGGATGTTAGGTGGGGTGGAGGTCTAAACAGTGGGGAGGCCAAGGAGAGGGGGTGTTGAGGGGGTTGCTCTGTGAGAGGAGATAGGTGGGGATGAAGACTGAGCAGTGGCGATGTCCCTGCGAATTGTTTCAATCTTGTTTTTTAAGTGATTGGCAATCTCGAGGGCGGTAAATGAGGTGCTGGGTGGAGGTGGGGGCAGAGAGAGTAGAGAGAGTTGAAGGTAGAGAAGAGCCAGCGAGGATTGGAGGAGAGGGTATTGATGAGGATCAGAAAGTAGTAGAAAGTATATTTTTATTTTTGGGTCCCCCCACCAGAGGTCTTTGCTCCTCCCCCCTGATGAGTGCCCTCAATAGCGAGCAACCCTTGCCCTCTTTTCAGTGGCTCGCTGGCTGTGAATGAAAGCAGAAGGAGCCAATGACTCCTGCTGCTGTGTGTGCCAATGAGGGGAGAGACACTCGGGGAGAGACACTGCTCTCATGCCCATCGCTGGATCAAGATTGGGCTGAGGTAAGTATAAGTGAGGGCTGGGGGGGGGCAAGCTGTTCCCAGAAGTTTTTTTTTATCTTAATGCATTCACATAGCAGTTTATCTGGGGATAGGTTGTGCTTATAGTGGTCTCAAAGGCAGAAGTTTTTTTTTTACCTTAATGCATGGAATGCACTAGGGTAAAAAAGCTTCCTTTAGAACCACTTTAGGCACAGCCTATCCCAGATAAACTGCAGCCTCATGATTTTAAAATAGAAGATAGAAGCTGACTGAATGGGCAGCACAGTGGCATAATGGTTAGCACTTCTACCTGACAGTACTAGGGTCATTGGTTCAAATCCCAACCATGGCACCACCTGCCTGTGTGGGTTTCCTCCGGGTACTCGGGTTTCCTCCCACACTCCAAAGACATGCTGGTAGGTAAATTGGCTCCTGTCTAAATTGGCCCTAGTATGTGTGAGTTAGGCATCTCAGATTGTATACCCCTTGAGGGTTAGGGACTGATGTGAATGTGCAATATATGTATGCGAAGTGCTGCGTAAACTGTTGATGCTATATAAGTACCTGAAATAAAATAAATAAATAACTGATTGCCATGTACAGCTGCCAGGTTCTTTACTATACAGTTAGGTCCATATATACTTGGACACAGCCACAATTGTAGATTTTTTCAGGTATTTACCAAAACATATTCAAGCTATAGTTATATAATGAATATGGGCTGAAAGTGCACACTCTGAGGTTTAATTTGAGGGTATGTACATCCAAATTGGAGGAAGGGCTTTTAGGAAATACAGCTCTTAAGAGTGTCTTTTTCAAGACACCAACAGTAATTGGACAATTGAATCAAAAGCTGTTTCATGGCCAGGAGTGGGCTACTCCATTATATTTCTTCATCAATTCAGCAGGTAAAAGGTCTGGAGTTGATTCTAAGTGTGGTATTTGCATTTGGTGTAAACCTACATCATGCGTTCAAAGGAGTTGTCCATGCAAGTGAAACAGGGCATTGTAAGGCTTCAAAAATTAAACAAATCCATTAGAGAGATAGCAGCAACATTAGGAGTGGCCAAATTAGTTTTCAATGGATCACAACTGCGATGGCATCCCAAGACTTATGGACCATTTTCTACTTCCTCCAGTCACATTACTGAAGATCCATCTTCTGTGCAAGCTTGCAGCTGGAGCAGGGGTGTACTTACCACAAGGCAAACAAGGCGCTTGCCTAGGGCGGCATTTTTCAAGGGGGCAGCACCTCCTCCCAGAAGAAGGGATGACAGAAGGGACATGCTCACCAGTTGAACCAGATGGGATCCGAGAGAGGCTGCTTGATTATTATTATTATTATTATTATTATTATTATTATACAGGATTTATAAAGTGCCAACAGTTTGCTCAGCACTTTACAATATAACGGGAGACAATACAGCAAAAATACAGTTCAATTCAAGAGGTTTAGGAGGGCTGCTCCTTGGAGCTTACAATCTAGGAGGGAGGGGCTAGTGGTACAAAAGGTAGTAAATGTGGGGGATGGACTGATAGGAGGAATAGAAGATTCCATTATTAGCTGAAGGCAGGATAGGCTTCCCTGAAGAGATAGGTTTTTCAGAGATCACCTAAAAGTGAGCAGAGTAGGCAATAGTCTGATAAATTGGGGTAGAGAGTTCTAGAGGACGGGGATACTCTGGAGAAGTCCTGGAGATGAGCATGGGAGGAGGAGACAAGGGAGCTAGAGAGCAGGAAGTCATGCGAGGAGCGGAGATGGCGGTTTGGGTGATATTTGGAGACAAGATTGGTGATGTAATTTGGGGCAGAGTTGTAAATGGCTTTATATATTATTGTTAATGTTTTTAATTTTATCCTTTGGGCAATGGGAAGCCAGTGGAGGGATTGGCAGAGAGGGATGGCAGATAGGGAACGGTTAGTAAGGTGGATGAGTCTGGCACAGGGGTGGACTGACAACTCATGAGGCCCCCGGGCAATAGGGGATCATGGGGCCCCTATGTCCTTGCCCACACTTAAAAAAAGCCTATAAAAAAGGTACCAGGGGCATTTCATTGGGCCCTCTACTAATACCGGGCCCTCGGGCAGTGCCCGAGTGCTTGAATGGTCAGTCCGCCCCTGGTCTGGCAGCAGCATTCATGATAGACTGAAGACGGGATAGCCTGCGATGAGGTAGGCCAATGAGGAGGGAGTTACAATAGTCAAGGTGATGCAGTTGGCAATGATGTATATAGAAACTGATGTCCAGAGCTGTGAAGAGGAGAGGTTAGTGGAAGGCTCTCCCGGTTGGGGGGCAGGGGTGTTGGTCAATGTCAGGCTCTCTCCGTGGGAGGGGGAAGGGGGGGGGTTGTGTTGATCAGTGTCCATGGGGCAGACAATTTTTGTGTTGCCCAGGGCAGCACAAAACCTAAATACGCCACTGGGCTGGAGGAATAGTCTGCAGGAGCCTGTGCACGCACTCATCGCGATAGTGATGCATTGCAAGCTCCGATGTAAATTAATAAAGAAAAACATATAAATGCACTTTTTTGGGTGCATTTATTATTTGTACAAAAAGTGAACATTCAGTGCATTCTGCACTCCTCTTTTACACTGGAGGTAGATGATTTAGCCCTCCCTGCCTTTTATGAAACTATTGCACATTTTTAGCAATGCTGTTTTTCAACCTGGAGGAATTATTTATGCCAGGCAGGTTCCTGCAATGTGACTGGTAAGAAAGCAGCCAGGCAAAAAAACAGAGAGGGGGAGAGAGAGAAAGAGAAAAGGGGGGAAATTGCTACAGAGAAGAACATTCTGATGGCTTCTAAGAGATGATTAGCTGGAAAGAGGGTCATGCCTGAAAATGAAAACCCTCCAGAGAGATGACACTGGTGTAGAGTCACCATCACACCCACCCACATCAGCAGCACCCAACCCATCCTCAGTGCTGAATGTTGCTGAGCAGATCCACAGTCTGACTGTGCTGGGTGTGTGTGTCTGTGTGTGATCAGCTTCTTCATTGTCTGCCTAGTCCACACACACACATACATACATACACACACACACACATACATACACACACACACACACACCGGTGTCTCTCCTCCCTTGGGCTGCAGCAGGAGGGGCACTGGCTGCTGGAGAAGCCTGCGATCCTCAGGATGGATGGAGAGCAGTGACAGCTCGGGTCATCGCCTGCGATCTGTCACAACACATCGGAGCTCTAGGAGACCACAAGCAGCATGTTGTCGCTGTCATCCTCCCCTTCCAGCGGCGTCAGGTAGTTCCTCCAGGTAAGAGATCTTCCCGTTCTTCTAATGACGCCTGTTGCGCTTCAGATGCTTGTTGCCTTCCAGCTCTGTGTTTCGCATCACCCCGATGCTGTGGGTTGGTGGTGCTGATGCTGGAGGATGAATGATCGCTGTCACCATGGAGCGCCGATCCATCGCTATTCAACTACCGTCAAGTTTGATGGAGGAGTTGTGACCTGTGCCCATCAATAAGCCACCATGGGAAAGTACCTCTAAGGTGTCATCGCTGGTCTTTCCTTAGGCTGATGATCCCTATTGCTGCTCTTAGATATGATTATGTTTCAGATTTCATGCTGTGTATGATGACCTTAGGACCAGTTTTAGGTTAGATCACCTATTCTTTGCCTATAAGAAGGGGCATAGTTTTTGTATCTAAACCTGGACCCTGTAATCAATCAATCAATCAATCAGTCAGTTCTTCTAAGATGAACCATCTGCTGTATCTTCTCATGATAAGAAGGTGTTGGGAATGAGTCTGCTTAATATCCCTGCTGGTTGTATTGCACATAATTCCGGGGTATAAGCCCCAGCTTTACTGATGGACATGATTTCTTTTTTTATTGGAAGGATTCCTGGTAATGTTGATGGGAAAGGTCTTCTTTGATCTCTTCCATAGGCTAGAAACCCAACCCAACTCAACTGTTCTAGTCTCAGTGATTTTCTTCTCTAGAGGTAAACTCATTGATCCATGCTTCAAAATGAGATTATAGTTTATTCCCTCCCAAACAAAATGAACCCTATTTTACTTTTATGTCTTGGCTGCCTGGAAAAGTCACCATCCGTATCTGCTTCTAGTAATTCATTTTATTCCAGATTTTTCAACATCTGGGAGTTGATAAATCACAATGATTATGCCCTTTAAATGAGATCATCTTATTTTTCTGATCACTTTGTCTTGGCTACTCGGAAAAAGTTGCCTTCTGTATTTGCTTCTAGGAATTTCGTTTGATGTTATTCCAGAGTTTTCAACAAAGTTGATAAATCACAATGACCTGCTCATTAACCCTACTATTACATATCCTCGGTATAATTTAAGTGCTAGAAATGAATATTGGCTTTTTATCATTACAGTCCTCTAGATTGAATGAGGCTCTTTTGTTTTGTGTTGACACTTCAGTAATACCTTTACTTGGCATGTTTGTTTTCAGTTTTGGACATGAGACCAATTGCCTGTATGATTCTGGGTATGGTATAACTTATTACCATGAAACAAGTACAGAGTGGGCCAGGAGCACTCCATGCAGCCTGGGGTTTGTTTAAATGATTTCCCTCTATAATTCTCTAGGGTAGCAGAATTGTTGATTCAAATCAGGAATGCCAGTGTATGAGAGTACTGTCTTGTTCTAGAAGTCTGGAAAATACTGGAAATTATAATGTTTTTGTTAAAATTATCTATCTATCTATCTATCTATCTATCTATCTATCTATATCTATCTATCTATCTGTTTATCTCTATATTTCCATTTTTTTTCAATCAATCTATCTATCTATCTATCTATCTATCTATCTATCTATCTATCTATATCTATCATGTCTGTTTGCCTAATTCTTTTCCTATCAAGATCTGGGAGTTCTATGCAATATGCATTAATAATGGTCGTGTGACCATAGTAGTAAACCCTATACACATTCATAAAAAAAATATGCTTGAAAACCAAACACATAAGATCCAATGTATAAGTAACCTAATGTTATTGAATAACTGTTTGTCAGTCCAGATCAGTTTTCCATGAAATCACAGAGTACATGGAGCATGCTGTTTATAAGGAGAGGGATATAATGAGGTTATTTATGAATACAGCTGGTGATCCCTGAGACAAGAGCCAAGCCTGGGCACTGTGCCCCTTGTCCAGTCCTTTAGCTTGCAATTTTTCCTGTATGTTATTACATATGCAGTGGAAGTCTTCATGCTATGGTGGTTGTAACAATAAAATAAGCAGAGTTTGTAAGAAGCAGCAGGCATCAGTAGATGGAGGAAAGCAGGCAATGTAATTCTTTGCAGCCTGTGGATTCCTCCCAGTACTGCGTACACACCCTTTGTAATGTAGCCACAATACATTCTAATTATTCCACAGTCATGTTGGATTGAACTGCCTGCAAACAGTATGATAAGTGCTGTTTATTATGCTGGGTGCTGTGCAGTCAGACTGTATACATCTTACGATTCCTAACAGGGTAGCATAGACAAGCAGAATGCTGGGTGGGAGGAAGGAAAGAGTCAATTAAATTAGTTTTGATTGGAAATGAAAGAATGAAGCCTCTAGTTGTATTTCTTTCATTTGAATATGTTACATGAAATGGCCGTGTTGACTCTTTTTGCTTGTTAATAATGTGTGCATGTTTCATGCTATGTCACCTATGTAGTACCCTATCTGTGCTAAACAAACTTATTTATTGTCATTAGTGCAAGTAGCAGTGTGCAAAATTAGAAATCATTTCTCTGGCAACACTAAGCTATTGAAGTGTGGGTTCTTGTAGGCTTACATGTCTTACCACTTTACTTTCAGCAGTATAGTATAAACCAGAAGGACAGAGCTTTTGTGTGATATATATATATATATATATATATATATATATATATAAAGTTACCCAACAGAGATTTCCTATAGTACCAGGTTAAACATCCATTAAAAACAAGGATTGATAATGAGCACAGCTTAGATGTCACAATGCCATCTAAAGTATTGTTGGAACTTTCCCTCAGTTTATATATATATAAATATATATATATATATAAATATATATATATATATAAAATAGTATATTTAAATATAATATATATATATATATATATTTATTTATAATGTTACTCAACAGAGATTTTGTTTACTACCAGGTTACACATTAAACACAATGATTACTGATGAGCACAGAGTTGATGTCTCAGTGCCATCTAAAGTATTGGAACTTGCCCTCAGTTCAGAGCCATGTGCTAAGCAAACTATATATTAGCAACCAATCAGGTTGTTGGCTTATATCAATTACTGTACTTTGAACATTGCATTTGCTCTTTATATCGTTAACTAATAATAATAACAAAAATAATAATAATTAAAAACATTGTTGCATTGTCCTTGCTCTCTAGGCACAAGTAATTCTTAATACTAGCATTTATGGAATTTTTTAAACAAGGGGACACGTCCCAAAATAGATTAAGAAATGCCAATTTTAGTGTACACTTATGGGGGTGTATTTTTTTTGTTATCCAAAGGACATTCTAAGGTAGTATTAGTTAAAAATTGGCATTGGATTAAATTAAAAATTTATTTTACTGAGATAATACACTGTTGCTATCATTTCTCATAAAATGTGTGCAATGTTCTTTTTTGAAGATTGGTTATTAGTTAAAAAAATAAAGATTAATTATTGATTTTGAATGAACCAAGAACAAAAAAGCCAATCCATATAAATATAAAGTACACTAAGCAACTCATTCCCTAAAGCTAAAAATACAGATTTTACATAGAGCTTTGTTCTGTCTGTTTACTGGGTCTCTGATGACACGTATCTGATTTACTGTACTGAAGCATCAAAAAGTTAAAGTAAATGTTAAAACATTACAAAGCACACAGGCCAGATCAAAGAGCAGAGCAAAGAGAAATCTCCCTTCTCTGATTTAATATAGAATTTGTGCCAAAAAGAAAAAATACATTTCACCTAATGAAAGTTCAACAAGTGCATTGATAATTTGTATAGTTTTAATGTGATCTATATTATATTCATATAAAAATCTTACTCAAGTAAATTATTAGGCTTTGAACTCCAATAAGTCTTAAAGCGAACCTGTGGCCAGGCTTTTAAAACAAGCCCCCATCAACCTCTGTAGCAGCAGGAACTGTGGAGCAATTCATCCTCAAAATTCACTGCCAAGGCACTGAAGGCAAGTGAAAAAGTGGCTTTACTGTTTGTGCTGTGAACCTTGTGGGTGAATTGCTCCACAGAGTTTG